TTCGGCACGGGCGGGGCGAGGCGCGGCGAGCAGAGCGGCGCCTGCTGCGCGGCGACGTCCGCCCTGGGCCGAGCTTTGTGCCGCGCCACGTGCCCGCATCCGGGGACCGTTGGCTCTCTCGGCGGGACGCTGCCGCGGCGCGGCGGCAGCGTGGGCGGGCGCGCGCCCTCCGCCGCCGTATGCGCCCTTCGACCGCCGCCCGCCAGCGCCATTCTTAGCGCGGGGCGGCTGCGGCGCGGCGGCGGGCGGGCCTCTGCGCGCAGCCGGCACGTTCCCGCCCCCGCGCGCCCGCGCCCGCCGCCGACTAGTACCGCCCCGCCCCGCACCGCCCCCGCCCGCTCCACCCACCCCCCACCCCATTTGCACGGCACCAGGGCAACTGCTAGTGCCTTCCGACGTTTCACCCCCCCCCCATCCCACCCACTTTGACTTCTCCGCTACGATTCTCTTCTACATCTTTCACACCGTTGGATGCATTGCAACATGCTCTTTGTAATTGCTTACAGTTATGTAATGCTATGAGCATTAAAGATGTATCATTATTATTATATTCTTTACAGAGTGTTGGCATGTTGCTCTTACAGTGTGTTTAAATTAAGCAAGAGAATTGTAGTTTCACACACCGCCGCAGTTGAAATGTGTTGGATAGATTATGCTGCAGTATATCTGTAATATATTTGTATATAATGTATTATTGAACCTTTATCTTCTCCTTGTAGTTGTGTCAAAAATATTTTGACCATATTGCCAATAACGTGTGTCGAACGAGTCGTGTGACACATCAAGCTTAGGCAAAAATGCCATGAGACAGACAATTACTTATTACAAATATAATGGCAAGGAGGAAACCTTTACTGTAGAGGGCTCCTAGACTTGTTGATGGAACTTGTTGTATTTTTACCAAATTGTCAGTAAATGTTCGTTCTCCCTGCGTAAGCAATCCTAACCAAGAATGAAAAATACTGTTGGAATGTCATGTAAAACATACACTAGTGTACATTCCAAGATCAGCAGCAAAGACCAAAATATATAATGAAGAAAAAGCAGAGACTTCTGGTATGATGGTATATGAAAGTATATTTTATCAGTATAGACTATCACACTGCACGACAATTTTAGATATAGCTCAACCTGTGTTATTATATTTCCAAATGTGTGAGCCAGATTTTACAGATTGCTGTTTACCAGTTATCTTACTTCACTTGCTGTTAATGCCAGTTGCCGCAGCCCAATAAATTATGTAGCTGCTTGATCTCGTGGCATGAAAAACAGGTCTTTGTACTAACATAATCATGTAATATTCTGTTCCTTGCTTCGAAATAATTCAACCAAGCACTATTCATTTCTTTAAAAAACGTTATGTAGTGGTAGATGCATTCTAATATATATGTTCATGACAATTAAATGAATGCTGCTCAGTTGTCTATTTCTGAGCATTAAATTGCGAGCCATAGAATCAAATAAGTTTCCATTGTAATATTTCTTTTTCAATCAAAGATTTCAGATCAAAAATTTCTATGTATATTATTTTAAAATGTGAATTTACTATTATACAATTAGCTGTTTCATAAGTGCAATGAGTTCAAGAAGTGAAACTCTAAATTCTGTTTCATGCCTGATGCCTCTATGAATTGTTTCTTACATGTAGTATCCTCAAATTGTATCAAAAATTGGTGTTAAAAGCAGCTTTACAGTTTTATCAGTTATTTTCAGATATTTTGTTCTTTTCCAACACAAAAGGACATCAGCAACATTTATTTTAGAAGAATACATACAACTTCTAGGCTATTAAAAAACATTATTAATTGAAAAAATGATGTGACGTGGAAACCAAACTGACTTTTCTGGTATAGATAATAAACCATCAAATGATTATATTATAAATTATATCTGCAGTTTAAGTAATCCTATAAAAGAATGGTTTTGAAAGAAATTTTGTGACTGAGATTTTCCCTCCTTCTGTTAACTTTTTTGAATCATAGCGTGAGAAACATTCACAACTAACAAAATGAAAAGAACTCTTGAGGCTGTAAACAAAGAAACAATTATTATGAATGCTGAGTTCATGTAAACTAAGATCATAAGAAATTGTATTATAATTTGCTAGTTAAAAATGGGAAAGAATTTACCCAAAAATACAGAATTGCCATGATTCAATACACAGAATAGATCAAAGAGTATTATTGCTGATTATTAATTCATTTCATACTTTAGATGTAATGTTGACACAAATATCACAAGTTGTTTTGACATAGTTACTTATGTATTACACAATATAGTAGTAAATTTTGTGATAAAATTGATCCAAAAACAAAGCTTGTAGATAATTGGTATACATTTTTACCTCATTATAAACTTGAAAATAACCTGTCGTGTCTCGAATTGGTAATGTTTAGCAAAACACAAACAAGAAAGAGTTATTCTTCTTCAGTTAAGTCCACTCGACTGTTACCAAACAGACTGACTTCTTTCTCTGATTTACCAAATTCTTTGAATTTTTACAAAGTTAATGTTTAAGTGAACCATTGTGTTCCTCCTGACATGTTAAGAATTGCCAAAAGATCTGTACATATGTATTGAATTATTGTTATAATTTTGGTGGTGTCATTGTTAATAGATTCCTACTTGTATATTGAGAAAGATTGATGTTTGAAGAAATTGACAGAATCAATAATGACCAAAATAATTAATGCCTATATCTTCTTATTTAAAAATCTAGTATTATTATAATACAGTAAAACTGGTGTTTTCCCTAAAATATGAGAGCTCACAAAAGAATGTATTTCTGGATTCTTTTCTTCACTTTTAGCGCAATCCAATTCATGAACTGCCCGTAGAAGTATTTTGTGTCTATTCTGCCTCCGGTCACACCTACATTGTGCAGCGGATTTCCATTACTCTCTTTGCTCTCTCTGAATATCAACATTAAAAAGGTAGCATAAAAACATCAAATGCTGATTATGCCATAGAGCACAAGTTCTAGATAAACACACTGAGCATGTTAAAATACAAAAAGACAATTGACAATAATGGAAAAAGAGGCTAACCTTGAGTTTTCACCATAATGCATACCGATAGGCTTGGATGCCTCCAATCTTGCATAATAGTGATACAAAGTGTAAGTCTTAACTCTCTTTTAGATGTTGGCACGTTTCTGAGACCAAGGGCTAATCAAAAATCTTATTTTATATTTATGTGGCTGTTAGAGTTCAGACCAGCTTGACATTCTCTGTTAACCTTTTCAGCAGTTTGAATTTGCACGTGTATTGAGACATTCTTAATATTTGAAAAGTGCATCATCCTTAAAACAACAATCAGTCCCTGATACCGACCAGTGTTCCGTGTGTGATTATTGTGAGTAACTGGTAATTTTACTATACATTATTTGAGTATGATTTTCGGTGCCATTGCTCCTTGCAACTTTTCACATTATTGAATTATGATTATGATTTAAAAGTTTTATTACAACAAAACAGAATCCCTTGTGTTGAAAGTCGTTGATTTTTACAAGACGTCAGGCACATTTCGTAAAATAGAGTGAGTAATGGTTTAGGTAACATTATTACTAGTTAGCTTTTAGCTAACATTGTTTAGCTAATGAGTTTTACAAAACTGACACAAACAGAACATTTAAATCATTATATTCTTATGTGTTGATGTATTCTGACTTAATGTGATCACTATTCTAATTAGTTCTTTTTTGTTTCATGCAAGTTTGTATTAACCTTCTCTGTTGGTAAATATGGAGCCAATGTTGAAAAAATTTTGAAAATGTTCAACTCTATTAAGAAAATACCCTCAGAAATCAAAATATCCGTTTGCAAAAATATCAAAGGTATCATCAGTCAGATCGATGGCGGATTAATATTCACTCAAATTTCGGTGGTCACAAAATCTGATCCTACCAATTAGCCGCTAGAGTTCAAATAGGCGGACAAATGTTTAGCTGGAATCCCAAAGTTTATTAATTAAAGATTATATACAGAACATGAGATTCGAACTACACAATTCCTAAATGCTACATGCGTTAAATAGCACCCCCTTAAAGACGTGGTAACTAAGAATTTCTAGGCATTTTGGTCCCCTGGATTCCCTAGACTATCCTCAGAAGTCGACAAGTAGATTTTTTTTCTTGCATTTATACCAGCAATTCTAAATTGCGTCCATTGTAATTTACAAATCCTGTGTACTATACAGCATTAACAGAAGCTTCTGAGAGCAATAACGAAGATCGGTCAATTATGATCGTCCTCGAGACGTGATCCGGGCAATATGTTGAGGACACTGACTGTGGATCTCGGCATAGATAGATTTGTATTCCAACCACCACTACAGGCATTGCTGGCATGTAGTTTTTATAGAATCTGTATTACGAATATTCAAAACTATCAGAATTACGAATATTTCAAAACTTTCGATTGTACATTTTAGAGTTCAATAATGGTGCAGTAGAATGTCGCTCATGCGTCTTCCGCGGACGAGTGCACGGCTTGTAACAAATTTTCACGTATAGTCTCCTCCCATTCACACACACTTCTTCTCAATGTTATTGTACATGTAGTCCAGCGTCGCCAATTAATTCTGACTTTATCATAAATTTTAAATTAGAACACACACATTAATTAATACAATTTGTTTTGTCTTATACAATGTATTTTATTTTTTGTAAACAGGAGGGTCTCAAGCGTTACGTAATTTATTATTGGGGGAGTTCCAAGCGCGCGTTAAAGCAATATACGATGAGGAGGGAATACTCAAATACTCCAATTATTTGCGTCGAGTAATTTATGGACGGCCCCTTAGTAAAACATATACCATAGAAAGTACATCATATATATATTTATCACATATGATCATAAAATATCTTATTAGAATAGAATAAAGTTGACCTCATTTTCCCTTGAGCAGCAAACGTCATGTCCTATTACTCATGACACACTTCCCT